AGGCTTCCTCTTTCCAGATTTATCTGCAACATAAACAATTTAGGTTGGCTGGAAAAATGTTAACATTTGTAAGAGAGAAAACACCAATGTTCAGAAAAGAAAGATGGGAGTCAGAGTGCCTGTTTTATCTTTCCTGTTAAAGATTACTTTTAAATCTGTGGGGTAACAAGGGTGCTTAAAGACTTATTAACCATAGGTTTTATACCTATATATATTATTTACATGTACACATAGAGACATATATATGTAAATATTACTTTATATACATATGTGTGTATATAATGTTATATACATATATAAAAATACATATGACATTATTATTTATTTATGACATTAAATATATAAGTATATTAATAAATATAAATATAAGTAAATGACACTATATATACACACGTTTGTAAATTTAAACATTGAATTACATATATACACATATATAAATGTAATAGTAAAAACAGTTTTGACCATTCCTAGAACTACAGGACTCAGTATTTGAAACCTGCTTTAGCTATGGAGTTTCCTTCTGACTCTGGAAAGCTTAGGCATTTCCCACCCTCTGACTGCAAACTGGAAATTGGTGTCTAGGTTTTCACCTCATGTTGTTAGGACTATACATTTCCCAGTTAACCTTGAAAACTGAGATGTTTTATTATTGATGATAGTTTGTGTTTGCAAGAATATAAAATGACAACTTTTCAGACTCCTTCCATCACCTAAGACTCCAGCACTGGAGAAGAATATAAGAAAAACAAGTTTTATTTAGGCAATTGTCTCAAATATGTAGGTTTAATGATAAATTCTAAATTATTAGCAAAATGTTGAGAAAATGGATTAAAGAGGGCTGAATTCAGAAAAAAAAACCTTTGGTATATCATGAACAAGAGTTCATAGAAACTCTGTATTTTGTTAAGATATTTTGTTAAGAAAAATGCAATCTGAAATGAAAATGAAAAATCTGAATCACAAGTTCAGATGCTTGGAGCTTCATTGTGAAAGCCTTTGCGGTTTCCTTAGGGTCCCAAATTCATTGAAGGGACAGCTGTCTGTGCAGGAAATATAGAGAAAAGGAGACCATACAATGGAGGATGCCATCAGATCCTGCACAGCAAACATGTCAAACAGCCAGAAATGTTCAAGCATCCTTTTGACAATGAAAGGGAAAAAAAAAAGAAAATTAATTGTTCTACTTAATTCCATTCAATGTTTGTGGATTCAACCTGTAGAAAAAATTAAAGCTAAATGTGAACAACCTGAAAAAACCAGAACACTGTAAGAAGAAGACCAAACTGCCCCCCCCCCCCAAAGCCCCCCAAACACACAGAACAATATTTCTTACTGGGGGGTAATAAAATAATTTTGCTTTGACCTTTTCCTCACCACACAGACACAATAGCAATAGCTGCTATATATAAACCTTAGATGCTCTTCAGCTTTGCTCTACCAAAGCATATTTATTTTAACTCAGGAAGGCTAGTGGTAAAAGAAATTGGGGGATGTTTTATTTACACAATGATAAATTAACCTATGGATCTTTTCTCTAAGGGTAGCTCTAGGAATGACTAGGATGCAGAGAGATCCAAATGGACTTTTTGACCTCTTTTGTTAAAGCTCCCTCCATGGCATTTGTTGGGCTTTTTCAAAGCTAAAAGGTTGGAGGACACAAAGCTTTATTCTCACATTTTAATCTTGAGGCTAGAAAAGCTTCTGCATTCATGCCCTAGCAATGTTTGCCTCCAGTAAATCTGAAGCATGCTGGGCAGCTGTGGAAGGAGGGCGAAAAACAAAAAAGCCTTGTGTCTGAAACATTTGTGTTTGTGTGCATCCTACCCTGTACAGCTGGTCTGACTCAGCTCTGAGAAGATGCTGTGCAGCTGTTTCTCTGGAGCAATACCTGTGGGCAAACAACAGCACAGTCCAACATCTCTGTACATCTTCCTGATCTCCAGGGTTCATTTTGTCCCTGCTCTGTCATCTTTAATCATGAAGCATTAGGCTTATTTTTACTGGATATTCATGCACATATGTTCAGAACTTACAGGGACAATCAGCCATTGTTCCAGTTTTCCTATTGATGTTTTTCTTGCAAATCAGAGCCCAGGGACTGGCCACAAGCCCAAATCCCATCTTTTCAAAACTGATTACTTCTTTGCTGGGACACTGTTTGCTCTACTGCAATTGTCTAAGACTGGGTTTGGCTGGTGCAAACTCACTTCATCTCTTCTGGAAGCAAAGGCAGGATTTACCCTACGAACTGTACAGCTCTGGCAAGTCAAAGCAGATGAAATGCCCCCTTCCACTCTGGGGTAATTCTGCTGCTGGCTAAAAAAGAGGCCCCCAGACCAAAGGGGCAGCAGCAGCTAGAAGAAGCTTGCAGAAGGGGATCTATAGACTAAACCATCTCATTCCAGCTCTGATGAGCTCATTCAGCTGGAAAGGCAAAACAAAACAAAATATGCACGCATTCCTGTCTGAATATGGGACCACAAGGCAGCTAGGCACTGAGACACCATGCAAATGGAAATGATTAAGTACTGGAACAGAATAGCAGAGATATCACTAGGAACTATCAAAGGAAATTTTTGAGGAAAAATGAATGACTCTCCAATGCCCTGAGATTTTCTGTTCTACAATAATGAAATAATTCCCACAGAATAAATGAAATTAACACTAAGGTAGAGTGGAATAATGGCAAAATATTTTGCATGCTAGAAAATTACAAAATGTCTAAGGTAATTTTAAAATTAAAATCAATTTTTAAATGGTTGAAGTGTGGGGAAAGAAAACCTTGTGGCAAATGGACTTTGGGAGGAAGAGCAGCAGAACCCAAATGGCTCTGTGGCAGTAGGAGATGGCCATGACCCCATCTCAAGCTGAAAACCATATGGCTCAGAAAAAAAGTGGAAATAAATGACCAAGTCATTAGGATCCCAGCGGGGCATGCAGCAATCCCAAATGGCAGCTGGTCTCCCACAGTTTTACCCACTGATCTTGCCCACTGCTGGGAAGAAGTAAACACCATGGCTGTGCCACATTGTGCCTCCCTGCACCTCTCACCCACAGGCGTGTGCACACACATGCACGTATGTGCACATTTGAATAGACACCTGTTTATTAACAAGAAACTCTAGGCATGCTGTGAATTCCAGATTTTTTTAATGAAGATTCATATCAGAAGGGAAATAGAGATGAAACATCACAGGAAGCTCACAGCTGTGCATGAGCAGAGAATAGCAATTGGGAGATCTGTTTGCAGGTATGCCCACAGAAAACCTCTGCCTCTCCCCATCCCACATGGCAAGGTGAGAGACAAATAATACAAGCTCCTTTTGCTTTTCCAAAGAACACTGTGATAGCTTTTTTTGTCAGATTATGCCACAGCTCTTGTACTTGCAAAAGGATTGTTTTTCTAACGAGGCAAGAAAAGTCAAAAGAATTTAATGCCCAAGATAACAGTTATCAGTCTGATATAAATAAAGCAGCGTATAACGTTTGCAATACACTACAATCTACAACTGATAAAGGAGTCTAAAGCCAAATGAGGGTTTAAAAGCAAGCTGATATTGGAAATATCTGCTAAGTTCTCTCTTTAAGCAGATGCCTGGGTCACATTTGCTGTTTGTAGCTGCTGTTGCTGAAGCCAGTGTTGACACTGAAGCCTAGAGTAAGGACATTTCTCACTCAGCAGAGCTCAGTCTCTCCATGGGATCCAAAAAAGGCTCAGATGAGATCCAAAAGCTTCTCCCACACCCTCATACAATAGGGACCATGTTTTAATTATGTACTGATACCTTTGTGCCAGTAATCCCCAGTAAGAAGTATACTACAAAGATCTCCCTTGCCCATGTGGTTGCTTCTGTGTTCTTCCCAGGACCCTTCATCTTAACACTGCAGACAGCTCCATCACTATGTGCTTGCCTTTGTAACTCTCCAGACATCCATATTCCTGTTTTGTTCTTGTTTAAAAATGTCAGAGTGGCTCCTTCCTCGTGTGATTGTGACACCAAAATAATTTTACTGGTTCCGCCTAAATTGCCTTGGGAGCCTGTTTCAGTAAGGTACAAACCATGTGTGTATTAAGTCATATGCAACATACACACTCCCCCTAAGCTTCTTGGGAAGTGCCTCTGGAGCTTGAAGAAGTTGAAGGCAAGAGCTGAAGCACTTCAAGGGGTGAATATCAGGCATGAGATATTCCTACTGATTAGAAGCTATCCCAGGTGATGGATTCTCATATTAGTCATTTCCAGGATCCTAATTTACCTCCATTAATGTCATAGGAGCTAAACGTTGCATTCTAAGCAAAGAGTTAGACAACTAGAAATGTAAATTCCCCAGGTTCTGATTTCCACTGAAGATTGTCATGGGAGCTTGGTCTCACAAACTGTTTTAGTCTCACAAACTGGGTCTGAAGTGCCAGAATAATTTCTATCACTTTTCAAATCCTTGGCTCTCCACTAGTCCTTTGAGTTTTTAATCCATTTGGCAAAATCAGTGATGTACATACATGACCTGGTTTCAGCTGGGATAGAGTTAATTTTTCCTCGGTAGCTGGTACAATGTTGTGGTTTTGGATTTGGCATGAGAATAATGTTGATAACACACTGATGTTTTGTGTTTTTTATATTAAACTGCTCTTATGTCAACATAAAAGTTTTGGTTTTGATTCTCCTCCCCATTCCACTGGACTAGGAGTGGGGGAGGTGAGGGAGTGGCTGTGTGGTGCTTAGTTCCCAGCTGGGATTAAACCATGACAACATACCAGCATAATTTTTGCTATAATTGGTTTAGCTCATTTCCTTAAAAATATTAAAACATTTGCACAAGCAGCTCTCTTCTCTGATGAATATTTTTCCACAGGAAATCATTCATTCTCTGTTGCATACATTTCCAGACTCCTCTTAGACATGTTCCATGGGTTGGATTTGGGGCTTTTCCTTATATTTCAGTCCCAAGCTTTAGGATCATGAAATGTTTCCAATGATCACAAGACGCCTTTTTTTTTTTTTTGACACTTGTTTATTTGCAACAGTAGTGTGAGATACAGTAGAATACATGTGGGAACCAGATAATCATGTATTATTTTATAGTGAATTTTTCAGTAGATTATTCCAAATATTACATATGGAATTTTAAAGTTCTATTACATTAGTTCTGATATCATGGTGACTAAGCACTTAAACAATAAGCAGTCTTGTGGAAAAATCCATATACATAGTTTGCTTTACCTCCTTTGTCCTAAACTTCAGACTGCAACAGGATGACTTAGATCATATAAGTGGGTAGCAAATACTGCAGTCTATATTTACACATTATCTATTCAGAAAGTCCTTGAGAAACTCTGATACACACAGGCTGAACTGAGATACAAAAAATTGTGCATGGTGTTTTCACCTCTCACCTTGAAAAGAAAGACTCACGATGTAAATTCTCACATATTTTAATAAGATTAAAAATATTGGATGGTGTACAATATCCTGAATGTGTTACACAGCCAGCAGATAAGATGTTTCAGAGCACAGCAGCAGTTGCTCTGCCATCAAGCACTAGAAAGGTAGATGGCCATCGAGCTTTCTAAACACACACTGTGGTAATTACTAATAACCAGAAAAAAAGCACATTTTGAAAAACTGATATGCAAATACACGTGACAAACCTAAACACAGCATGAGATGAATCTCACTCCTACTTCCACGAAAAGGTGGAATGCTTGGACAGAAGGGTTTTCATGACAACTTGGATGCTGAAGGGTTTCTTCTTTTTTTTTTTTTCCTGAGAATAGCTAGAATTTGGGTGATGAACTCCTCAGAGTGCACATAACCTAAAAGGTATTTGTGGGCTTCAATAGAATCACCCTTGGCTTCCATGCTTTCTTTTCAGAAACCCAGAGACTTAATATTATGAAGGTGCTTGTTAAAGTGCAAATATAGCATTGAAAACAATCCTGCTATCATGGAGGAGTGAGACTCATCCTATTTTTGGGGCCCCAAAATGATGACAGACCTGCCAGTATTCCTGTGATTTCTATCCACAATCATAAAAAAAACTATTTCCCACCAAAACCAAGAAATGTTTTAAGAGGACATCAAGTATGTTATGAGATGCAGTGTAGAGCTGAAGAGCTTTAGAACACAAATCTCCCTCAAACAGTATCAAAGTACATGTTTAAAAAGAATACTAAAGCAAAAGTATCTTGAATCCATAAAAAGGTCATGCTAGCCTATTATTTAACCAAGCATGACTATTGTACAGTGATGATACCATTGCAAGACAGCTTAGAGGAGCACGTATCCCTGTGCTAATGGATGCTGAAGAGTGATGTTCCCTTATATGAATGTGGTGGGGCAGAACCACCTGTGATTACAGCCACTGCTAAGGATTTACTTTAGGGTGGGTCACTAGCCTCAAATTGAATGCATCTTCTTCCAAAATTAAACATATTGCTGAAAGCCTTGGATTTTAGAAAAAACACAGTGAAGTGTCTGAGAGAAGCCATCATGCCCCAAAAAAGCTCAGGATCATTTCCACTGTAGTCAATTACAAACTCCTCCACAAGTTTTAATCTGTGGGATCAGGAGCAGACTTACCCCACGTTGCTTACCTGCTAATGTCTAATGGCATGGCATCAACATTTACTGCCTGCTGGCCTCTATTTTAGGAAAAAGATCCTCCTAACAGAGGTGGCTGGTGCTATGCTCACATTATGCTCACCTCAGCAGCAGAATCAAGCTGGGTGAGGAAAACACACATCAAGCCATTTGTGTAAAGGACCCTTAAGCATAAAGCAAATCACAGCTTCTTATTTAAATAACACAGTACCATGCAAAATTCACAAATTAAGGAGTGTCTTTAAGTACAAAAAAATGCAAACCTTTGCTTAAAAATCCACCAATTTTATGTGTATTACTCTTTACTTTTTTAAGCCATGCAAAAGGTTTAACCAAAATGTCCCCTTAACAAATACAGATTGGAACTATGTAAAAGAAAAAGCCCAACTTACTGCCTAGACAAATCCCCAACAAGTTTTGATCTTTCTCACTGAATTTCTTTATCATGGTAGTTATCCATCTGAGCAGAGATGGACAACTACCACCTGTGGATAACACCACACCTGTGCTGCCCTTCCCTTGGGATACTTAGTCCTTGCTGTGGGAAGGAGCTCTTATCTGCAATTTGACATTGTCCATTGCAGGTCCCCAGCCATGCTCAACTGCAAATGCAGGAAGGAGTCATGAATCTCATGCTCAGTGCAAGGAACTTGCACCACAATAACAGGGATTAAGACAAGAAAAATGTGGAACTTGAAAAAGGACACGCTGGGACTATACAAGGCTGCAAGCTGGGATACTAGAATTGCCCTTGGATCATAGTGCACAGATTTGAGGGTGTAGTGGTTTATTATCTCATTAGAAACATCTAATTCCCTGTAATAAAGATTGCATGTAGAGTATGTCAAAGAACAGATGAGGCTAATACAGCCCACAGTCAGGACTAATATTTTTTTTTCCCTCTCTTTTTGCTAAATAAGCAGGGATAGGTTTTCAATTTAAAAATAAAAACTATATAATTACGGTAATAATACCATGCTCCTGACTGCTCTGCAGCTGCATATTGTAAAACTCAAAGCCACTGATCAGAAACAAAAGCAGTAAGTCAGCAAAAGCTTTACAGAAATGTTTTGCTGGGGTGATTTTGTCTGGCAAAAACCTCTATAGGGGAAAGACTGTTTACCAAACATATTTCATGTCCTTTTGCCCCTAAAACACCCTGCAAGCACTTGAACCTTTTTCTAACAACAGATAAAGAAACCTTTGCCAGAGGTGTAGTTTATGACTATATGAACACAGGAACAAGCAGTGAACCTGTTCAAATAGTTAGGCATCAGTTACAACAAAAAGCCAGAAGCAGTCATATTTTTATCATCTGTTATAAAAAAATATTTCCCAATCAGTGTCTCAATACAGTTAAAAGTTAAAACCCCTCTACATTACTAATAAATTAAAAAAAACACTATCTCCAACCATCTCGTAAGAAAATAGGTGAGTAATTTAAACCTTTAGTTTACATAAATTAGCACAGAAATGTGTATTCAAACAAGTGCACTGAAAACAGATATGCCTTCTTTTCTTCTGATATCTCTTATTTAAGTTATTAAGTAACAGGAAAGCCTTTATATTCTTTGCATGACCTTGAGAGTCTGCTAACACTGAATGGTCAATAGTCAAACCCCAGGAGAATGTTTCACCAGATAGACAATGACAAGAGGGAGCATGAAGTACAATCCACTGCTTTGCAGCCTTATTACCCTACACTTCAACATTCCATTTCAGCACATTTACTCTTGGGGATGAAGGTAATGTATTTATACAGTGAATCCGATGAGTGAAATTTGATGGGTTGATAGAATTTTTTTTCTTAAAAGCCTGTTAAAGTATCATTTTTTTCAGAGGTAGTCTGCAAGGCATTAGTGATGTACATGAGTGGAAACAATATTCCTTTGCTTGACTGTGGATAAAACTCTTAAATAGTGCTGGTGCTGTCTCTGAACCTCGCAGAGAAGGCTTAATGGGTAAGATGTTATAATCGGTGCTGACAACAGCCAATTAAGTGTCAGAAGAACAATCTGATAAGTAGGTCTTCATGTCTATAGGCATTTCCTGGTACGTCTTAACTGTCAATCTGGATGTTACACATCTCTATCTTTATCTCATTATTGACTGCTTTATTAAAGGAGAATGCTTTCATCTCCTTTTTTTTGACTTTGGGGTTGCTCCAGAAAGAAGGAAAGGAAAATACTAGGAATAAGTCTAAGTTTGGAATAATTGATGGGGAGTCCTAATTATAGCAAAGTCCTAATCTTCCAACCGAGCAGGTGTATGGTTTGGTGACACCACTCCGTGCATGTGCCCACACCATACCTTTCAAGAAGTGGATGGTGCTCAGTCTAGAGGAGATCTGTTTCTTTAATGGGTGGAAGGATATCTGTGGACGTGCTAGCAGGCCGCTCTCTGCTTTCAGTGCTTCTTGCTAGTCATACGGAAGACAACACCTCGCTGGATGGGTCTCTTCCCTTCTTGTCCTCACCCCTGTCGATATCAATCACATGAACTATGCCAGGCTTCAGGATCAGGTCATCGGTCTCTACGTGGCTCCTGTTGTCATCCACCTCGATGTACTTGCCCTTGGAGGGCTGGGTGGCCTTACCAAAGACGTCTTTGAAGCGGCGCTTGAGCTCAACGTCCGGGCAATAGACGTACTCGTACAGAGCACCGGCAAGGACGGCTCCGATTATCGGTCCCACCCAGTACACCTGCAAAAAAAGGGGTGGGGAAAAAATCCCAGGCATTAAGCTTTTAAATTAACAGTGATAAGAAGGCTGACAAAGATTGCCCACTTCTCTGAAGTGAAGTAATTTTGTCAAGTTTTATTGATCTATCAGGAAGTTAAATCAAGTTTTATTGATCTATGTTCTTCACAGGGAGCTTCTTCTAAACTTTTCATTCCTCACTGCCAGCTATAGACCACAAGTATGGACTCTTTGCAAGCAGACACACAAAGGAAACATTGATGTAGAAAAGTTATTTTCTTCCTGCATTTTGAACCAAGATGACAATGAACTTCCAAGGAAAAAAAGCCCTTCCTAGTGTACACACAAAGGCCCTTCCTAGTGTACACACAAAGAGTTCTGCTTTGGTATTTCAGAATAATGTTTCCAAAATATTTTGAATTTGGCATTTAATCCTACACAATACAACAGGCAGTCAACTACAACAGGCAGTCTGATAATCTAATTTAAATAAACAAATACAATGGACATAACCCAACTTTGTAGGTACCTATCTACTTAATCATGACCAGCAGCAGTGCAGTGACATTAGCAGGTGCCAAAGTCCACAGGCTTCTGTCGATGGTATGCCAATATCACTGCTCTGGAGGAAGAGAAAAGGCTGTCTTTCCAAGTGGCCAGGGCAGTAACTAAGCTTCTCCTGCAAGTTTGTCCACGGTGCATTTGTTTATTGTTTATTGCTTTACTTATAAATTACAGGCTTCCTCAGAGTATGGATAATTAATCTTGTGAAAAACTACAGCAGTTTTTCATATGAACAAGCCATTCACTGATAACTGGGTAAATCTGCCTCAATAGGATAACTCTTGGGAACAAAGTTACACATGGTATCGTGTTTGCAGAATTGAAGCCTTAGGGCCTGAAGACAATGCTGTTTCTATTCTTAGCTGCAGTGGGAGCAATGTGGGCTTCATACTTTAAAAATCAAGAAAATCCTTATATGCATTGTAATATACAGCTCTTCAGTCTGCACTGAGTGTGTCTCTAGAAGTGATTTCCCTCTCTATAATTAGGTGAGGCTGAGCTGTGATCCATCTTTCCCTTATAAAATATGAATTTTTTTTTGTAAGTTGGATGCTATAGAAATTTACTGCATCATTCACAGCCTGCTTATAACATTATTTCCTGTGCAACTGCGCCTGACTAAGCTGACACTTTCAAACTGAAGCAGGTAACATCTGGCCTGGTCTGCAAATACCAGACTGCAACCTCTTCATCTCTCACTGCAGGCATTTGCTGACGCAGGTTCTCCCCCAGGAACCAGATCACAGAGGGTCCCTGTTCTCATTTTATACATCTGCCCCAGTTTGCTGCAGAACCAGGCAAAATGTGAAGCTGACAGAATTACTTCCATAGCTCCTCACCAGCAGGACCAGAGGGGTTTGCAATCTGCCTTGGAGGATTTTTCTTTCCAGCAGTTCAATTCTTTCAGTCTCCTTGGGTCGCTTTTTTCATTTTTGTTTGGAACTTCTCCTATGATTTCTTTTCTACCCAAGCTATTACCTCCACAAAATGGCCCCCGAAATAGTAAGATGCTATTCCAAACATGCTGCATGCTGCACTGCAGTCCTAGATGAGGAGATGATGATGCCTAAGCTTGGGGCAGGTCAGTGCCTGTCTTCCTTGGGGATGGTCTCTATGGGATGTACTGGGAGCAAATGATGTATGAAAAATCCTGACCACTGTTTGTCACTATGGTAGAGGAAGTATGAAAGGAGAGTTACCCATTGGTTTTCCCATCTTCCCATAATGACAGCAGGTCCAAATGATCGAGCTGGGTTCATGCTGGCACCGGTGTAATTGATCTAAAGCAGAGAGAAATGCTGCCTGTTATTAAAGTCTGGAAGGCAGTGATTTGATTTCTATGGGACCACCCTGGTTTTGTACAGCTCCTCCTCTTTACAACAGATATCATCACTCTCCTGAGTCTTAACATAAAGTTAAAAAAAGTCATCACATGAACAGCCAGAAAAGTTCTGGTGCAACACCCTACCCAAGGGGACACTCCTGAGACTCCAAAGGGTTTTGGCATGGGTCCATAAAGAATACGGCAGCTATATAGCTGTAATTGCTCTAATGGTCACAAAAGTTTCCATTTACTTCTGAAGTAATCATAAAGGGTGAAGGGATCTATTTTTTTAAAGAGAAACCATTAACTTACAGCAAATAAGTGTCCAATTGCAACAGAAAATCCAATTGCTAAAGCTACTGAACCAGTGACATCACTTCGTTTTGAATCACAGCTAGCAAAAATAGTAAAAACCAGCTGGAATGTAATTATCAATTCCACCAGGAGTCCATGCCCAGCAGAAAGATCTCTGTGTACCTGGAAGAAGGCAAAGAAACACCAGAAATGAAGAAAAGGTGATTTTGTAAATCAGAAAACTATCACATGCACAAATTGTATTTCAATGAATGGTATTTCTAAATAGTACAAAGTGAAAGACAACAATGAACTTTTAGAGGTACAGATTCCCCCCTCTTCACCCTTCTCCCCTTTTGTAAAAACTTTTAAATGGTTTTTTATTTTGAGAAACATGGAAAATCATTGCTGGACTGAGAACAGAAGGCTTAACAATAACATCCAACTGGAACTTCAGAGTTAGACTGCAGAGCTATAGTTTATTTTTACACAGGGATTTGCAAATGCTGCACTTCGCTTTCACCATTTTTTTTTCTTGGGAGCACTGTAATTTACTATTCAATTATAAATTCATTAATTAGCCCTGACTTAATTAATTTAAATTTCAATTAAAAATTAAGCAGTGTGCGGCTCAAGTGCATTTTAATAAGTCCTGCAACAGGGCTAACTGATGGCATTCCTTATTAGTTTAGAACAAAGCTGAAATCTAAGCCACCATCTATTTCAAAAGTATGTCATTTTAAATTGATGTTTTTTCAATCTCCATCATAATAGCATAGAATTAATTTCCCCCCTTCCCAGACCATATAAAAATGGCATTTCACGCATATATTATTTAAATTTTGTATGTAAATTAACATTACCTGCTGTCATCAGATTTGGGGAAGTTCTAGGAAAGAGAGCTTCTATAAAAAGATCAGCTATAACTATCACACTGCAGAAACCCATCCTAAGGAGAGCTTTAAGCCCTGTCTGGGTGTGGTAAATAAACCAGCAAGCTGTTAAAAATCTGTACCTGAGCTCTCCTCATTCTGTGTGACACTGATTCTATTTTCTCGGGGTCTGAGCTAGGCTAGTTCAAGAGGCAGAGGAGGAGAGATTACCGCAGTGACTCCCAGGCCTCCCACCACGCTGGGCGGTGTGACAAGATAGAGGATGCCTGCACCCACGATGGCTCCCAGGCACTGGGCAATGATGTAGAAGACGGACTTGGCAAGGCTGATCTTCCTCGTGCAGACCATGGCCACGGTCACGGCAGGGTTGATGTGGCCTCCGCTGATGTGCCCAAAGCACTGCACCATGGTGGCAATGCTGAGTCCAAAGCAGAGGGATATAAGGACCATGTCCACAGGCAGAGGCTTCTCTGCTCCACCCCAGTTGATTGTGGAGCCGAGGCTGAGGAGGACAAAAATGAGCATGGCCAAAAACTCTGCCGAAACGGCTTTCCAGAAGGGCTGAGTCCAGACTCCTTTAAATGCCACCATAATTCTCTCACACTTACACAGACGTGCACACTTACTGAAAAGGAAAGCAAATCTTCATCAGAAGTCAACAAATAAACCTTAAGCTCTCCTGTTAGGGGCTGCTCTTCAGCAGACTTTGGAGAGAAGGTGGCAACACTGAGTATCCTTGGGCTGGGACAACCACAGACTACCCTCCTACAGCAGACTGCCCTTAAATCATGCCCAGTGTTGGAGTGTCTGCAGGACACAGGGTAATTAATCACTCCTTATGATAACTCTGTATAGTTTCAGCTCCCAAAAAGCAATGTCCATGTATTTTGAAATGACCATGAAATTAAGCGTACTCTTCTATGGTAGCTGGCCTCTGATTTAGAGGCTGTATAGCTCTACCACTTCCAGTGGCCTGTTGATCATCATGTTCATTAAATCAGTGAGTACCCTCTTTTTCTATGCAAACCTGTCATTTTCACAAAGCAGGTAAGATAATTCAATAAAAAGCAGTATCTTAGTTGAAGTCTAGTGGTTTTGATGACAGTGTAGTGTTGGGGAGTTGCCCTGGGAGCTGGAAGAGAAAGTTTATTTCCTTGAACACTCACACAGATCAGTATTTCAATTTATATTTATGCAAAGAGCAGTTTCTTCACTGTGGATAGTGGGTGGAAATTGAATTCAGGCAGGAGAATAGATGCAATCCTACATTCTGACCTTTAAATCAATTGTGTAATCAATAAAATGCTTTCTTTTGGGCTAACGGCGCCAATTGAGCTGGGGAATAGAGCAATATTTTCTGCGTGTGTGGTGTGTAAAACTCTGCATGGAAAAGAAAGAAGTGTCTTGGCTTTTCTTCCTGTCTGGAGATGCTATTTATTAGTCTACACCGCCTTCCTGGTGAGTTACAATTTTGCTAGATGTTCAGATACCTATGAAAGTGGGTCACCAAAGAAAAGTTATTTGTGGTATTAATAAATTAGGAGAATAAGCCAAAAGGAAAGCATTTTAATTAGTTTCTAAGGAATGCTAAAAAGATTCTTCTCTAAAAACAAAACCAAGAAACATCCGACCCATCCAAAAAGTAGAAAACAAAAGAAAGAATATTCAGCCGCTACATTTGGGAACAGAATTTCAAGTGGAAGATGGATGAATTTATGCTCAGTTGTCTACGGTAACTGAGCTACAATGCATATTTAATACCAGTTACATCAGAAAGGAGCATAAAAGGCATGTCTGCCCTTCTCAAGTCATTGCAAGAGGAATGGCCCATAAATTTCTTAACAGTTACAGTGAGTAAGGGAAAAGCAATTTAACGCTGTGACTGGAGCAAATAAATTGTTTCCCTGACTCATTTTCTATGCTAATTTACTCTGTATTTTGGATAGGCCTTTTGAGCTCTGTCTCAGTTCTCTAGACTCTCAGATGAGAACAATTAAATTCTCTCCTCAAAATGGCCCTTGTTAAGTGCTTATGAAGGGATCTGAGACACTTGAACAAGACAAGTTCCTCTGGAGAAGTGAAGCCAGAACCTCAAAAGAGAATAAAGTAATATCCCAAATCTTCTGATTTTAGGTCAAACTCAAGATAAATGGAAAGATGTTTTTGTAAGATCTCATATTAACAGTCAGTTAATGGCCAACCATCTAGACTAGACTTTTTGTACAAAATGAACCCAAAATCATTGCCTCCCTCAAAGCTGAAGCTCACAGGTATTTGATGTTCTTACCTTTGAACTCTATGGTCAGATTCTTAACACTGAAACTTAAAGGCTTACCTCTGATTCCCTTAATGATTCCTCGCTAATAATTTAGCTTAGTGAACTGAGTAAGAGATAGGTGCTATATCCATACTGAGAAAAGCTCATTTTCCCAGTTCCCTGGGCATGTTCCAGGTGAACATAGGGATGACACATACATAGTGAAGCCCATGGAAGAGAAACCTGGGACCTGGGTGCACAGACAAGGGAAGCAGCACTCAGCTACTCTTTTATCCCTCAGCTCAGCTGGGATGCAACCTGGATTCCCCTGGTGCAAGCCCTGGTGTCATATTCAAGAATTTTGAAAAATTTCCAGCCAGCAAGGGCACTAAGGGGGGAATGTAGGTTTATGGAGCATGGTGACTTCTATTGTCTTTGTTCAAATGTGCCTGACTGTCTCTTTCTGTAATCAGGGAACAGCAAGATCAGCAGATTAATTACACACCTTCATCCCAGAAAGTGGACAGAAAAAGGTGTTTGTATTTGTCATTAAGACCATGCAGTTGGCTTCTCACTAGTTGTGGAACATCTTGGAAAATCACCTTAACAGTGAGTGTGTGTGTGCACGTGGAAGATCACACCTTCCACTGGACTGCTGGTGGGCCTGACTAGAAGGAGACTACCCCTTAGGAAAGATAGATCTCATATTGCTTCTCCAGCTGAAAGCACGTGCAGTCAATTCAGTCAATATTATCTGCAGCCCTGAAAATGCAGAAATGCTGCAGGCTAGCCAAATGCTTCAAACACAAAAACTGGCTCATCAATGTAAGTTTTTGTTTTTCCAGAGCATCATGCTACATAGAACTCTGTCAGCCATATTTACAGTTAATGATATAAATATCTATTTTTAATCCATAAAAATCCTTTTTTGAAGCAGTCTGTTCTTCCATGATTTCAACACTAAGCAAAATGCTCAGTTGTCAGGGCCAAATTTTTCTTTTAAAAGCCTTCACCTTTCCTCCCTACAGCAAAACCCTCTATAAATGTTAGTAAAAGCTTAATACTGTGTTTGAGCCCTGAGCCCAGGTTTTCACTTAAATTCAAAGGGAAACACCAACTTAGATATCAAAACCATCTCGAACATCCACTATTTGTTCAGCATGCAGTTAAATTTAAAGGCTTAGAGATGAGTCAGAGTGATGGCTGTGACAGGTCTGAAACTGAAATGGGACCTCTCAGCAGCTGAGATTTGCCATCAAAGTTGCAAAACAGGTTTTTTTTTAGTAGTTCACGTTTTCCTTAGATAAATTCAAAATACAACAGCAAACCGCTGTAATGTGATGGTCACACATTAGTTTCACAGGTGGGCACATTGGAAATTCTCTGGTCTAGGCTACGAGATTACACAGTAAATTGTGTCTGATAGGACACAAGGTGGGTTTTGCAGATCACGTTGCCAGCAGGGCTTCAGGCATGATTATGGCTTCAAAACCATAACAGTATAAATCATAACAAAGGTTTTCAGTACAAAATCAAACAGTATTTAAAAAATTCTTCGTTTTGTAACTAATATAATTTCAAGGAGCAGAGCACACATCCTGAAAGGAGGCTTGTGGCCAGCCACTCCACAGGACACTGCTGTGACACATGATTTCTGTGCGTGGTTATTTACAGTGGCATCTCCGCAGCAAACTCCCACGCTGCCCGACCTGGGCTCGCACGGCCGGCTGGAGCTCGAATGGACATCGGGCACCTGCCGGCCGGCTTTGAGGGACGAGGGCGACACGCCACCCTTGCAAAACCAGTGCACGGTCGCAGGGCTTGCTTGTAATCATTCTGCCCCATTTTCCAAAAAGCTGTTAAATGAGCGACTGGCAGGGGTATCCACAGCAGGTGGGGAGTCTTGGGAGCCCAGGACCGCAACTTCCTCGCTGTGCGGTACCTGGGCTTTCTCCACACACGTCTCTCTATTGCAAGTAGACAACGGAGTTTTAACATGAGGAAAGAGACTGCGAGTTTACTTCTCTCTGCATCCTTCGCATCTCTGATGTTAAAACTCCAGGCTCCGATAGTGCCTTCGGGAAGGGGGAGCTGCTGCCTGGCTGCCATCCCTCGGTGCAAACCGCAGGAGGAGAAAGGCAGCAGCGCGGAGGCAGAAAGGCAGCAGAGCGGAGCGCCGCACCTGGCACCGGACCGTCCCATCCCGAAACCACGCACCCCTCTCGCCGAAGCTTTCCATAAACTCATATTTGGTTTGGGGGGGGGCTGTCCCCTCCCGCCC